CGGTTCCTTGGGATCCCTCAGTTTGTGAGTCAGAGAAAGAACAGAAACCAAAGGTCAAGAATAAAATCAAGTTTGTTCCACACAAGCAGAACACGTAAGTGAGAAAATAAATTCCATTTTCTCTCCAGCCCTAAAAATCTGAAATCTGAGGATCAGCACGGGGCAAGTACTCACATACTCACAGAATGTAGTCCTACACAATCTTACCTCTGTGCTGTCACCAAAAGCTTTAGGTGAATACGGTCTGCTCATTTTTTTGTTTTATTTTGGTTTGCTTTTGGCAGCCTCCATGAATAACTTTTTAGCTGGCCAAGGCCTATTCATTAATTTTTCCAAATAAAAATATCTGGTAAAGGTTTTAAGTAAGACTCCCAAGCAGAATACTAAAAAGTTTAACTACAAGATGTTCTATGGTGTCATTTTCTTAAAATAGAACCCTCCTAAAATCTCCTAAAAATAAGCCTGCTATAGTTTCATTTCATTTTCTGAGAAGGAAATAAACACACGAAAACACACACTTAGCTTGTTTTTTAAAGAATCTCTCTGCGACATGGGCTCACAGATCACAGACTAAAAGAGCCAATTTCTTCACTTCATAGGTCAATGACACAGCTTTCAAAAAGAGGAAAAACAGTCCCCCTAGTGTACTGCCTCTGTAGAAAGAGGAAGTATGTTAGTTGAGAATCACTGACGAAGACGGCACTGCCAAAGGAAATTACAAAACAGCCTTTTTGGCAACACAGGGTAGAGAGGACAGATTCTTCGCATACAGCCCTAACTGGTGAGCTACGCCCAAAGGTGACAGGGTTCAAAATTATGAGCCAATGCGGAATTATTATGACACAGTCATTTTGAATTTTAAAAATAAATTTAAAACAAAACTGTAGTGAAATAAGCATTTCTTATTTCAGTCTGGTGAAGTAATCTGAAGAACAAACACAGTAAGGACAGAATTAAGCGGTCCATGGCAGGTAAGCCCTCATCTCTTTTTGTACCAGGAATTGAACTCACAACCTGATGCTCACCAGGTAAGGCACTGTGCCACTGAACTATATCCCCAGCAGTCACCTTGAAAGGAAACCATCAAAGTACACATTCTCATAGGAAGGAAGGCTCATGCTCAAATCATTAGCCTGCACAACAGCAGCAGCAGCAGCAGCAGCAGCAGCCACCGCCACCTCCACCCAGCATCCTGCAGGAACTTACAGCTGCCTCGCATCACGGTGCTCCGTCCGACTGAAGGGAGCTGTAAGTGTGCAGGTATGGACGGGGCAGGACGTGATAACCAGGCTTCCTGGCAAGCCCCGTAGTCCTCAGAGGGCTCCCCAAGCCAAGAGGAACTGAGAGAACCAGCTAGTTCACCATGGGTGTGCTACAAGGAAACTTAATCTGAACTAAAGGAAATGTAACCTTTTCCCCTCATAACCACATCTGATTATTCATTTCTACTTTAATGCCTAAGGTAAGGGAACCTGAGAGATAGCCATCAGCCTTCTCACTGGCACAGTGTGCGTCTGACGAGTGCACACTGACCAAGGGCTTCCTTTTCTTGGTAAAATGCTATCTCTACCGCTGCCTTTGTCACTCTGCACTTTCCTGCACGTCCACACTGAAAAGCACTGTTGTGAACACGGTGCTCCATTCACACGTGCCCGTTCTCCTGATGCTGAAATGATAAAGGCGGCATGGGCTGAGGTTTTGCCAGAAAGCAATGGATTTAAGTCTATCCACTACTCCGAAGTTTTTTTACAAGTTCAAATTAAATAAAATGGTGTGACACAGAACCAAGACCTAGGAGAAAGGAGGGTAAAGGAAAAAAATGAGGAGAAAAGGAAAAAAATGGAAACAAAGCTTTTGTAAATGAGGAGAGGAAGAGGGTCTGCAGGAAGGGTAGGGAAATGGGAGTTAAAAGAATCATCTACAATCATTATGTGTACCTCAAATGTACCAATAAACTTAATTTTAAAAAAAGATCACTAAAAGTGCAACTACTGATTACCTTTATACTAACTAGCTGTGTGATTTTAGAAAGATTATTACCTTCGGGAAGAACAGATTCTTTATCAAAAAACAGGGTTAAACGAAACCACCAAACTTCATTCTGATTGTATTTTAGGATCACCTGAACAACTCTGAACCAAACCAAACCACTACTGGTAAGCCATATGCTGGCCCAATTAAATCAGATTGTCTGGGTACTAGTATTATTCAAAAGCCCCAAATGATTCTAAGGTACAACCAGGGACGAGAATCACTGTCCAATTTCACTCTCTAAAGCTCCTTTTAAAATTCTTTCATTCTGACATCTCAAGACAGTAATTCTAGTGACAGATCTTCTAATACAACTGCTCGAAAAGCCACAAAAGTAAGGCCTAGCACCCCCATGTATACGCAGTATGTACACATAACTAGAAGAGGCTAACCTGAATTCTAGACATTTTTAGAAATTAAATGCATAACTCAGAATGAAAGTACTGTGGTTTAAATGCATGTGCATGCTTCCAGTATGACTAATCATGACAAGGATCAACTCCTAAACTTAGAGGCAGGGCAATGGGTCACAATTAGCTCCTAATCTCCCCGTTTTCCCTCTTCGGCCCTCACTAAGACCCCATGCACAAGGAAGATCACTGTCATCATCAGAATTACGAAACCAGCCCCAGTTTCCAAAGGCCTCCTTCATCAGCAACAATCTGCAAGTTCCTGCATGGCTGCACCTTTTGATGAAGGTCATCTTACAAAAAATGGAGCTAAATTATATGCCTTTTGTCTTCCAGGATTGGCTGCCAAAAATGGAACTGTTAAAAATATTTTAAAGTATTATTTTAAATCCTAAAATGTGTACCCCATATTAAATCTTGAGAATTTCAACTTACAGTATTTCTAAGGTTTTTAGCTGAAGAAAAATGTGATAGCAGGGACTAAAAAGAAACCACAAGAGAGACGAAAAAACAAACAAACCAAAAAAAGGATCTAACATAAAGCCACCTATGACTAGGTCCAGAATCTGTACTGCGAATCCTACAAGCTATAGTAAATATAGCCCAAGCCCATTTCAGGTCTACTTCTGGTAACACATTTTCTCATACAAATGTTTAAAAAAATTAAATTTACTAAATTTACTAAACTTACTTTAACTGCAAACATCATAGCAAAATGTTTGCTATTTGTGGTAATTGAATGACTTTTGTAATTTACTTGAAAATCTTAGAAAGGTGGAAACCTTTTCTACATTAAACTTTTTTAAGTTAAAAATTAATTTTTAACGGATTCTCACACCGTATTCAAACCTGCAGAACTTAGTTTCAAGAGTAAAAAATTTGAAATACATTCCAAAGCACCAAATCTATCTTCTCAGATTGTGTAAGTGGAGATTAACCCTTACCACCTACGTGGAAACCCGGTTTTTAAAGCTATCACATTAGCAACTCTTTGACAGGAAACTCTCATCCTTTCTGTAAACACCCTCTGATCACACAACTGGCATTCCTTTGTAAAGCAGTGGAATTAGAACAACTGTAAGATTCTTAATGTCAGCATTTGTGTCATGCAAAAATGAGACAAATCTGTGGCATTAACATCAAAGCACATCATTTACTTTTAAGGTATTTAAACAAGACCTCTCCAATACCAGCTGTGGGGAGAAAAATAAAACAAAATTTTGAAAAAATAGGCACTTTGCAAGTTTCCTAAAAGCAAATTAGAATGTTTCCTACTCTAAATTTTTTAGCTTTTTCATACATGAGCTCTTTTCCGGGCCTCAATCCCACTCCCAAATACGATTACAGAGTCCTTATGCCATACAATTAGGCAGCCTGGATCCCGGTAAGGCACAAAGCTTCCCAATGAAGATTAAGGTCGGACAGGGGGAAGAGGCAACCACCTCTTTAAGTAAAAGAAAAAAACCCCCACGAAATTTCAAATAGGAGCGGGTGATAAGAGACCTTCAATCATGCAGGACTCCCAAGAGTCCCACTGCCAGATTCTGACACCTACATATTTGGGGGCAGGGGCTAGGAAGGCACCCACGAAGAGGCAACTGTCTATCAGCGCAGGGGCAAAGGAGTTAATCTCTTTGGATGCCCAACTGCAGGAAGTCATTACATCATAGGCCTTTCCACACCTCTCTCCCTACCACGTGTCCGGGTGCCCAGGAGGCTGATAAGGAACCCTGGCCTCTCTCTCCAGGTTCTTCCATAGGTAGAAGCCATTATGGCCCAGCCCTATCATCAAACCTCCGTCTCCACCTAAGAGTTCACTTGAGTGCAAGACCAGTCCCCCACACCTGCCATCTGCAACAAACAGTGCCAAAGTCCAGGCCTGGCAGGGAGCAGCAGGCGCTGCCAATCCACACTGAGGTGGCAAAACTGTCCCTAAAACTTTTCAGAGGGTACCCTGGGCAGATTTACTGCAGAGTAAAGGTGAAGAAGAAAAGGAACCAGGCTGAAAAGGTTTGCTATCGTTATTTTTCCTACTGGGATCGATGTGCTCGTGTTGGAGTTAACATCCACAACTGGGAAGCTGGGACCTAAGGGTGTCACTCATCCAGCACCATGTTCCTGCAACCCCGTGGAAGCCACACACCCTGCCCCTTCTCTGGTGCGGAGTGCCTGAATTCCCAAGGAGCCCCTTCACTCCACCCCCGAAGTCCATTCCACAGTTAGCCACGGACCTACCACCTCGCTGCTGTCCAGGCAGTTCAACAAACGTACTCCTGCCCGTCTGTCCTTCCCTCATCAGTGTCCCTTCTTCCTCTCCCCCCAACCTGGTCCAGCCTGAAGCTTCCCCTGGGTTTTCCCTTCCCTCTCGAGCTGTCCCTAGGGTAACCCCCCAAGTGTTAAAGAGACCCCCCACCCCCGCCAAAGCCTCTCAGGGAAGGCTCCCCTGCCATCCCTCGCCCCCCAGCCCGTCGGCGCGCTCTGTCCGACGGATTCCGGGCGCGTCTCGCGCTGCACAGAAGGCCTGGTGGGTCCGGCCACCGGCCCAGCGTGGGTACGCACCTTCCAGCCCGCAGAGCTGTTGCTGTCGCCCTTATCTTTGAAATAGGGCACGCAGCGCACCATCCACTCGTAGATCTGGGACAGAGTGAGTCGCTTGTCCGGAGAGCTCTCGATGGCGCGAGTGATCAAGTCGGCGTAGGACAGGTTCCCCCAGGCGTTCCGCCGCGAAGAGCATTTCCTCGGCTGCCCGGAACTCCCGGCGGCCCCCGGCTGCGCTGGCGGCAGTGGCTGCTGAGGCTGCAACGGCGTCTGCGTCCCCCCGCTCAGCGCGCCCACCGCGGGTGTTGGCCCGGACCCGAGGTCCTGCCCTCCGGGAGCCAGCAGCCGAGATGAGTCCTCCAGCAGCAGCCCGGAGCCCAAGGTGCAGCTCCCGCCACCCCCGATCGCCATGGCTGAGCTGGCCCGGCCGCCGCTGTCCTCGTCGTCTTCATCGTCCTCCTCTTCGGGGATCATGGAGTCGGCGGCTGTCTCCCCGGAGGGCTTGGCCGGGCTGGCCTGGAGCTCCGGCCTCTGCAGGGGCCATGTACAGGAGCGCGGACGGCTCTGGGGCTCGAACTCCGGGTCCACCTCTACTTCCAGGGGAGAGACCTGGAGCGGGGAGGCCGAAGCCTCTGCCATCTTCGCCGCCCGCCCGCCCGCCCGCGGCTCGGGCTCCGGCGCTCTCCTCTCGCGCCCGGGCGGGGTGCGGCGGGGGAGGCCCGGGGGCGCCGCGAAGGCTCGGGATCCCGGGCGCCGCCGCTATTGCTGCTACCGCCTGGGGAGCGCGAGAGGAAAGAGCAGAGTTGGTTATCCCGGGCTGAATCCCAGTCCCCAGCGAGCCCTCGCCCCGATGCCGCCGCCAACGCCACCGCCGCTCCGCGCCCGCACCGCGCCCGCCTCCCGGGAGCAGACCTGGGACTGGCGTCCCGCGAACCTGCGCAGCAGACGCCGCCCCCTGGCCCGGCCGCCGGGGAGACGCGAGCGAATGAACTGCCGTGCAGCGCGGGGCAGCCCCCTCCCCCGCCGCCAGCGCTCTGCAGGTCTCTCCCGGGCCGGCGGGGGGAGGGGCGGGGGAGGGGCGGGCCGCGCCTTTAAAGTGGGCAGCGGCAGCCTGGTGCAGCCCAGCCGCGGTCGAGCCCGGGCGGGCGTGCGTTTGTTTATGTTTCGCTCCAGCCCGCGCAAGTGCCTAACGCGGCGCTGCCGCCAAAGTCTGCGGCGTCCACGCTCTCCTCCCCGTCCCCTGCCCTGCCGCCTCCGCGACCCTGCAGCCGAGGGGCTCGAGCCCTGGAAAGGCGCGGGCACCCCTTTCCCCCTCTCCGCCTGCGGGCCGGGCTCGGGCGCACACCGGCCCCCGCCACTTCCAGGAAGAGAGAAGGAAAGAAGGGGCAGGCAGCCCGGCGGGTGATCGCCGAGGGTCGCGCCCCCAGGAACGGCCACTTCGGGGGGTTATGTGATTTATTCTCTGGCAGACGCGGCGCCCTCCGCCCCCTGTGCAGCCAGGAACGGGGGGCGGGGTGCGAACAAGTCGGAACATAAATCTTCCAACAGGTCGGGAAGCGCCAAGTCTCCCGGGCTGCCCGAAAACCCGGACAGCGCGTTCATCACCTCCTTGCTCCCGCTGCTGCCATCTTGACAGTTTCCCCCTTCCCTCAAGTCCTTTAAAAACACTAGCGGGCGGGAACGGGGCGCGCACACCGAGTCACGGGGAGGGAAAAGGGAAGCGCCCGGCCCCGCGCGGAAGCAGATCCGGAGTCACCGCTCCGGCGCCTACCTCGGTTCCTTCCCTTCAGGGACGAGACGGGAGGACGCACAATCCCGCGCGGGCCCCGGGCACGGCGAAGGCAGGGCGCGCGACCCTGGCGAGGGAGAGGCGCTCCGGCCGCCGCCGCAGCCCGCCCGAGGAACCGCCTGTCAGCCTGCGCGCCGCCGCCTTCCACATTCCTCCTCCTCCCTTCCACGAGCAGGGCGGCCGAGGCACAAGCACAAAGTTATAGACACGCAGGGAGCCTCAACCTAAGCTGACGGCGAGCGGGCGGGTCCCCGCCCAGGGGGAGGGACGGGGCGGGGGCCGAGTGTGCTGCTGTGCGTGCGTGTGTGAGTGCGCGTGTGCTCGCGCGCGCCTGCGCGGCCTGGCTCCGCGGGGCTGCGGGCACGGGTGTCGGGGCACGCGCACCGGGCTGGGACTCCGTGGGCTCCTCCTCCCTGGCTGGAGCCAGTCGGACAACAAAGCGCGGCGCTGGTCCAGGACAGCCGGGGTGGGGGACTGAGCGCTGAGCCCCGGACGCTCCACGGAGCGCAGATGCCTGGCCGCTGAGAGTGGGACCAGGCACCTAGCACCAGGGGTCCCTGGCCCGCACCGCCGCCCGCCCTGGCATCCGATTTCCCATTAGAACCTGACACCAGGTAACACCCGAGATAAGATGCTGACCGCAGATAGCCAGGGTTGCCTCGCCGTGGAAATACTGGCTGGCGGAGAGGTTGGTACCTGCACGACTCTGATAAGCTGATGACCTCAGATTTGATCGGTCACCTAAAGGTGTGCACTGAGTCGTCCCTTTCCTTGGACGTGTTTCGCTTTTCGTGGGTTTGATGGCCAACTAAGGAAAAGTGAGACTCCGGAAGAAAGCAAGTTATTCCCCCACCTTGAAAAGTAGATTTCGAAATGAAAGTGCAAATTATTCCCTCATCCTAAACATGAAGAAGAGATTCCGAAATTAAAGTGTAGAACAATTTTGCTCTCACACCTAACTGCATTTCTGGCTTATTGGAGAAGAAACGGCTCCTCTTTCTATTTAGGACAAGAACGGGCAGCATCTTCACAAGTCCTTACCCTACCATCGGTGCACTGAACGCGACGTGCACATCCCAAGCCTATCCACTGGGTTAATACCCTTTTTTCTTCTTTTTCTTTTTTAACAAACTCCCTTTGAAGTCACTGGAGCTATATCAGAGTCTAGAAGTGAGCTTCGCAGTAACCCGATACACAAAAGGCTCCAGACAGAGGAACGTATGCCAGAGTCCGCCCACCGGGCCGGCTCCGGGCTCCGGGCTTTGCGCAGGTCCAGTCACTCAAGTGACGCATGGCCCCGCCCCCGCGCCAAGCTAGTTCGACGCGTACAAACAGATGATGTCATTGTCTCCATGCGCGCGTGACCCCGGAGGTCTGCGCCGCGTCGCCATTCGCTGCGCCGCTTACTCGTCAAACCACGCCGCGCGCTGACTGGCCCTGGCCTTCGGTCTCCGGGCCCCAGACGCCCCTCTCCGCCCCCCGCGCCCGCCCCCCAGCAAATAATAAACAATCGAGTAAAATCGGAGGAAGGAGGGGAAGGACAGGAGGGGCGAGGGAGCGCTCCGGAAGGCAGTCCGCGCGCGGACGGCGGGAGGATTCAAAGGGTGGACGGGAGAGCGCGGGGGCGGGAGCGGACGCGCGTCCCCGAGGCGGCGGGTGGCTCCGCGGTGAGCGGGCGGCGGCGGAAAGTTGCGGAGCCCTCGGCGGGCCGCGCTGGTGCGGCGCAGGCGCTAGGGCCCCGGAGCCCGAAATGGGGGCGGGGCGGGCCGCCGAGGGGCGGGGCCTGGGAGGGCGGAGGCGGGGCGGGGCCTGGGAGGGCGGAGTCGGGGCGGGGCCGCCGACACGTGCGGGAGGAGGGCGGGCGCGCGCCGCTCGGACGCACACGGGCGCGCGGCCCGGCGGCGCGCGCGCTTGTTTACCAGCGCACGTGGGTGTTATTTTTAAATGGAATGTGGGGCTGGCCGCGCTGCCGAGTGGCGGGCGCGTGGGGCCGCCCGCGTTGGCTGGGGGACGCGGCGGGCCTAGCGCCGCGGCAGTCCTGGGGGGCGCCGGCAGGGAGCCCGACTTCCCAGCCCGCCGCTCGGCTGCTAAAGCGGACTGTGCTCGGGGATCAAAGCCACCCGCTCGGCCTGTAGGCCGCGCTAGGCCGGGCCCCAGCCGAAGCGGCTGTCCTGCGCTTGCTAGCCGCGGGGTGGACTCCCGGTGCCCTGCGTGGTCTGTGCCTGGCTCCAAAAGTCCCCAGCCTGTTACCCCAGCACGAAGGCGCCTTTGCTACTCCCGACTGTCTTTGGAAAGGGAATTACGCGGGTTGGGGCCCAGCTTACTAGGTTGCACCTCCGTCTGAGGAGCCTCTGTAGTCATTACGGGCCTGCTTCGCTGAGAAGCTGTTTGAATTTGATTTACAGCCTCGCAGTTGGCGTTGAGGGACCACTGCGACTGGGCTTCAGCTGCCGGTGCTGCAGGCAGGGGGAGGGGTGGCAAAAGGTTTCTAGAAAATCGTTCCCCAGAGTCGGCTGTTCAGCTTTGCTCAAGATCTCGGAGGCTAAATCACCTAAGCTTACTGTATGCAGCATAAAATCCAAAGACTTTAACTTGGAGGCTTTAAATATTATAACACTATAAAAGAAATCCACTGTGCTCTGTAAACCTAAGCAATTCTTTGTTATTAGTGTTCAGACCTGCAGAAGTAGAAAGAATGTGTTTATACTGGCTGGGCTTCCAGCCGTAAGGTTCTCACTATAAACGTGTTGAATGTTCGTGTACCGAATGCATAGCCCAAGAGCAGTCCAAAACATGGGACTTACTAATATTCAGTGGGTTCATGGAGAGCCCTGTGACCCTCACAGTGAGGAAGGGGAACAGGCACAGGATAAGGCCATTTGCCTGATACTTCAAAAGTGTGAACATTGTACAAGAGATAACACATACAGTGTTGGGCAGGAGTCAGATGAGGGGGATCAAAACACTTCAGTGACTAAACACTCAGCACTGGAACTCTGCATCTCACGTAAGGAATTCCCCGCTATAATTCTGGCCTATTGGTGAAACTTGAGAACATTGACTGAATCAGTCTCCTTTTTAGTCTGAAATTCCCTTTACGTTTCCTTCCCCTTGTAGGCCTCCTTATATTTCTGCATTTCTTCCCGCTTTTCCTCCTGACTGTCATCCCGGCAGCCTGGGAGGCCGAGGTAGTGTTACAGGGTAGTTTCTCTACCCTCACCATTCAAAATCAGGTTCTTCTTGCCTTGAACGGTAAATTGGACAACACAAGCCAATAGCAGCGCTAAAATTTTTATTTGAAAAGTACAGAATAGACAGCTACAGGAGAAACCACTCTGCATAGTGAACTTGCGCCAAACAAAAATAAGAACAAAAATAAAAGTACATGCCACGTTCAGATGTGGCACCTCCTACCATTAGCAGCTTTCCATGACAGCGGGTCCTTCATGCCAACCGCATCTCATGGGAGCGCTCAGGAAGCTCCACCTGTGGTTCATTGACTTGCCCTGGGGTCTTGTGATTGACAGGTCCCCACTCATTTCCCCAGCCAGCTTTGCGGTGCCCTAACGCCTATATCATTTCCCCTGAGAGACATAAATCCCATAAATCTTTATGGGGTGCCGAAGGAGTGGAGGTCTCTGTTTTCTATAACTTCTTCCAGATGAAAGGCACTGTCGACCCTATTAGGGATTGTGTACTCTCCGACTGCCTTTGAGTGTTGTGGCTTATGGATGGGTTGAGGGAAGAAACACTTATTAAAAAATAATGAGAAAAGAGTGAACCTTGATCTGCATGATTGGGGGGGGAGAAAGAAACTTTAGTACTAGTCCAGATGTGAGGAGCAGGTCAGATATGTTAGAGAGCTATGTCAGATAAAGTATGAAGAGTCTAAGGGGCTTGGCCTTAGCAAGCTCTTATTTACTCATCTGTAGCAATACTGGAGCTTTGTCGTTTTTTAAGAGAAATCTCCAATTTCCCAGAGTTCCTTGTGGGTGATGTTGCTCTTTAGACATTTCAGGTGGTTTCATCTGCAAAGATGAATCCAGTTATCTGTCTCTGCCACCTTGCTACAATGGGTGTGGCAAGGATCACCGAAAAGGGCCCTTTCCATTTGGACTTGAACTGGTCTGCTGATGTCCCACTCTCCAAGTATCTACAAGCACTTGGTCTCCAGGGGGACGCTAGGTGGGCCCCTGGGCCAGGAGCTGGTTCTGTTACCATACATTTAGGTAGCCTTGGCCAGATTGATGAGATATTATAAGTCTCATGATTTCTGGGTCTGCTATCATGCTGGAGGATAGAAATGGCCTTATAACATCTCAAGTGGAATCACACTTAGCTCAGTTTTGGGAATGTTACGAATCCCATGAGTGCCATTTGTAGGAATCAGAGCCAAAACTCAGATCTCTCTTGGCAAAGTTTTGCCTGAGCTTCCTTTAGAGTCTGCTCTACCTTTCCTGAAGAGTGAGGCCACCAGTTGGAATGAAGGTGGCATTTTATTCCTAAAGCTTTTGACTTACTTAGAGGTAAAAGAAGGTCCATTGCCACTCTGGAGAGACTGGGACAGTCCAAGCCTGGGAATGATTTCCTTAAGAACCTTGACAACCTCCATAGCCTTTTCCGAATGGGTAGGAAAGGCTTTGATCCCACCTGAAAAGACCTCAACATCTTTTACATCCTCCACATGGTGGCACGTGGGTAGAGTCCAATTGCCAGTGCCCTCCAGGGTGTGTCCCTCTGTATAGGTTTTAGTAAAGGAGGCAGCTTGGGCTTGCCCCGTTTTCTGTGGGCACAGAGAGGACAAGCTTCCCAGAGCTGGTTGGTGGTTGTCACCAGTCCGACTCGATGTCTGTTTGCAGTGTTGCATCTCTTCCCCTATGGCAGGACTCAGGAAGGGTTTTGATTGCCATCCGCTGTATCCCTTGGGGAAAGAGCAGTTTATTTCCTAAAAACTGCCAGGGTTTCCTTTTCATTCTGCCCTGTCCTGAGGCCCATTTAGCCTCCTGGGAAGCACAGCCTTCTTTTAATGGTTCCTCAGGAACTGGGTGAAGGCTAGTGTCCTAAGGAGCTTCAGGCCAAGTGTCCTAAGGAGCTTCAGGCCTGCCCTTTTTGCCTGTCAGCCTTCTGATTTCCCAAAGAGATTTCAGATAGGTTTCTCTGGGGTCCTTTTAGTACGTGACTGTGTCCTATCTGGGAAGTTGCAATGCCTCTAGGAGTTACAGAATTTCTTGTCTATGTTTTATAGATAAATGTTTGTCAGTAAGGCTCTTTCCTTCCAGCCTG